TCATCATTGGATGTATGTAAAGAAATATTTGTTATTAAAAGTGTTAGATTTAGCTTTTTTAATTTTTATTTATTTGAAATGATCGAGTAGGTATCATATATTTCATCTCACTCAAAAAATAAAATGCTTGCATTGGCGGCATGAACGCTCTTGAATTCGCGACTACAAAAGCCTGGATACTTCAATAGCTTTCGAGCTGTGCGAATTACCGCCTCTGGCACTCACACACATCAAAGGAAAAAGAGCGTCCGTGAAACCCCGAGATCGTGTCGAACAGCTTTACTCTAGATTGCTGCCTTGGCAATTCTATACGTATTTCTCCTTCCATAGTCTCTTTATTTTTCTTATGTCCCAAACGAAAACTGGAGAAAAAATGTCTTTGAAAATTTTCTCGTTTACTTCTAAAATAAATGAAACTTATATTTTATGTTTCATACTTACGACGAACTATAAAAACATGTAACTCATACTTCTAATATATCAAAGTTATTTACAATTCTTATTCGGTATAATTATTTACATATTATAGTCAACACTAAATTCAGTAGCCTTAAAATATTTTATTATTAATTGCATCGATCTTTGAAATTGAAAATTTCATAATTATCATAATACAACCTCTCCACTCTCGTTACACCACTTTCTGATTTTACATCTTTATTTTTTAAAAAAATATTCCAAGCAGTTTATACTTTAGAAATAATTTGAAAATATCCATTTAATGGTAATATTATTTTGTAAATTGTAATTTTTCATTAGAATTTAGATAATATTTAACATAATGTACAAATACATTGTAATACTTCATAAAAAAAAAAACATTTAAAATATTATATATTTTATTTACTTTTATTCTATAAGAAAATATTACAACGTATATTATTCAATAAATTTAAATTAATTATTAATTACTACCTGAATATTCGATTTAAGACATTAATAATAATAGTCATCGGTTATTAATAATTATAACCCGTTACCGATTAACAAATAATTTTAGCACATAAATAAATATATATAGAAATTATATATATAGAAAAATATGAATAGCATACAATTCAAAATTTTTATTATAAGAATAACAGTAAAAATATTTCATCCCCATTATTCTAATTCCTATAATACATTTTTAATATTAACATATCGTTAATACCTTTGCTCGTCGTACAATAAATACATATAATAATGAAATGATAATTTACACATCGACATAAACAAAATCATATAACCTCATGTTAGAAATAAATGGAACATTAATTTTAATGGCTGTAATGATGAGGTGAAAAGAAAAATTCGTACTCATAAGTTTGCGACATAATTGGTGAACAATAAAATTTTAATAGCTCTGACATGAAAAAGAGGGCGAGCATCGAGATGGACATCTGTGCTCCTTTCCTCGTTTCCTTACTCTGTGCATTTATCCATGCATATCCTTGTAGTTGAATTACCTTTCAAGCTATTAACGATAAATCGCGTATGTGTCAACCATGGGCTACAATTTATTTTTACTCGCGCACACATGTGAGCAACCTCGAGGAACAGAGAAAATTATATGCTTAGGTATTCCAGAGCGAACTGCGGTTGTCGTGCGTCTCCGCATCCTCGTCGACATCGTCGACGATGGCGGTAGCGGTGGCAGCGAATTTCGCAGAAGAGGCCCCAACTCGCTTGTTTTCGTTTCGAAGTTTGCATTGCGGCCAATAAATCATCGGAACGAAAGCCCTCGAGCAGCGACGCACTTCCGGGTTCGCCGCTTTCGTGGGTCTCTCAAGACCACAGGCGCCTTAAGTTGTAGTTGTTCTCCAGGAAGAAAATGAGAAAGTATCTTCGCGAATAAATGAGGCAAAGTGATACGGTTCTAATTACTAACGGCCCGCTATAATTATCGCCTTTTCACTGCTTATCGTATTATTTGAAATTCTGATACAATTATAATTAAAGGTGGATTAAGATAAGAGGAAAAAATTTATTCAAAACATTGAACAATACGTCTTAAGTAGCAATGTGCTTGTGCATCAAACGATAGAGAACATCAATGGAATGAAAATTATGGGATTGAAATTTTGACGTCAGATAGTCTGCAATCAATACAATCTGATTAGCAGATTTAGAAATATGATGGATAAAAATAAATATACATTGTTGCTTTTAATGAAACAATTTTACACAATTCGGGAAATGTGAATTTATTATAATTTTAATGGAATATTCGTTGGATTAATTTTACCTTTAATTATCTCGGTTTTCATTAATGGTATTTAACTATTTCTAATAGTGATATGATATTTCATTAATAATTTACTTATAGACTCGATACAAATTCAGTTGACATAAAGAGGTATTTAAAAACCTTTACATATGATTTAGTACATTTCTCATTATTATTACATTACATAAATTTATAAATTTCATTCGAATGCAATGAATTTGCATAATACATGGGCACACTTCACTGGTTTCGTTACTTCAATGAATGTGAATGAACGTGTATTGGACACATTTTTAGTTCTAGTTTTTTTTTTTTTTTTTTCGTTACTAACATATTCCAATTTCTGGTTTATATCCGAGCATAAATTATAAATAAGAATTTTTTATATTAAAAATTATAATACGGTGTATGAATTTTTCTAAATATTTGCGATAGAATATTCCTGTCTATCCAACTTTCCATAAGTCCTCCAGCAGCAAATATTAGAGATAATAGCCATTGTTTTTGACAAATTAAGTGATTTATATTTGTATTAAAGCTTCTTAACAAATAGAAATAATTTAAAGTTCAATTTGAAGCTTATGTTTGTTATGTTATGTGCTTAATGTTCTTCGTTGATGACAACCTTGATTCTTTCTATAAATTAATAATGAAAAAGTGCAAGAAAAAATTTAATTATTTAAAAATATATAGAAATTCGGATAAAAAATAATTGAATAAAATTTTCATTTAGAAAAGATAGAAAACTAAAGTGAAAGCAGTTTAATCATGCAGAATAAATTAAAGTATTTAAAAATATTAATAAATGATACCATAATTTTAAGAATATAAAATTCTTGAATTATTGGAATTTTCATTAAATTCAGTTTAAATGAAAAAAAAAAAAATAATAATATAATCGTTAATAGTGTAATAATAATAGTATTTTAAACGTTAAAAGTATTTTTCACAAAAAATTAATTTATTAAAATATACAAAAATAAATAATAATACATTTATTAAGCGGAACGATTAGAAATATAATAATCACTTTGATAAATTTAAAAAAACAAGCCAGAAGCTCGTGACTTATATACTATTTAATTTAAATTAATAAAGTTGTTTCAAAAAAAAATTTGATATTTTAAATCTCTTAAAATTTCATAATTGCATAAGAAAATTCTTCGTATAACAATATAATTTTTTTCATATAATCGATATATTTGTTTATTTTCTATTTTATGTATACAGACCTTTCTCTTCGCATAGTTATATAATTAACAATATTAGTAAACAAGATAATTATCAATTTAATTAAGGAAAACATAACTGCTTAGTATAGATAAATGAAAAAAATCATTTGAATCATCCATAATTATATAAGTAAGATTTTCGATTTCTATGAAAAAGAAAAAAGTCTTCTTAGTATATATAAATTATTGTTAAGTTGATAAAAGTTAGTGTTAGTAAGTATCAGTTGCAAAGAGATTCGTAATTGAAATAATGGATAAAAATATTGAGCAGAAGATAGTACTTTGCGAATTCAAGCATAGCGACAGATGGCCTATAATGTATTAGGAGCGCGTTGACGCAAAGTTTGTTCTACCAAAATGGAGAGAAGCAGCCTGTCGCCTTCTTGACAGCCATATATGGCTATCGAAAATTTCCTTCTCAATCTAAAGAGGGAATTTTAATCGATATTCGAATTATCGACACTATCAGGGAGGACTGAGTTCTATAATGTTATGCTTTGTTTTAAGACATATGTAACTTAGCAAGTACATGTCATCAAGATTATATCTATCGACGTTTATATATAAATAAATATACTTTTATCTTTATGTTCTTTAATATTGTTAAAGCATTATGTCAAATTATAGTAATAACGTTCAAATAAATCATTTGCCTGAACGCATTGTCAATAACGTAATAAGTACGTATATTTGTATAAATTATTGTCTATTAATGATTGTACTCATTGTATATAAATAGCATAATTTCATAATTAAATATATGAATATGATAGTTTTTTTGAATAATGATAAACATAATAATAAATTCATAAAATATCTTACTCATTAATTATTAAATTTTAATGTATATAAATTTACATATAAATATAAAAAAAGTTATATTAACTTTAGATAGAGGCATTGTTTATTTGCAACAATAAAAGATAAAAATCAATATGTAGTAAATTTTTACTATTTTATATATTTTAATGACAGGTAATATATGATTGATATTAATATATGATCACGTGTTCAAATCAGCTTTCCAATAAATAACATAAGTGTCAATTATAAAATTTCTTATTGCATAATAATTGTAAGTATACATTTCAATTATCCTATTATAATTTGTATTTTATTTGTAATATACACGCATATCCTCGTAATACTAAAGTTAAAAGTAATGAATACTGTGCCTTCCCCATTACAATTCGATTGAACATAAAGGGCTCCGCGCTCTCTTCTTTAACAATGGACACAATAGGTAGAGAAAATCAGAACGAAATTTTCACAAATGAAAGATTCAGTCGATATCATAGAAACACAAACTTGGATAATAACGATGTGCACCATGCACTTCCTAGTCAGCGGTGATGATACTCCAAAAATAGAGTGGCGTTTAACACATTGCTATCCCACTCTGCATTTAATTCATCGATTCATCTCAATCCCAATATTTAATTCTCTCACTATCAAAGTCAATTACAATTCGTGAATTAAAAAGATCGTAGCAATCAGATAGATAAAGACTAATCATGTGTACGATAAAGCTCACGAGTATCGAATGATCCTAAATAGTCATGAGTTCAATAAACCAACAATGCCTAAGAATATCTCTGCTGAAAGTATGTTAATTAATTTAACAAAAAAACTCATTAGCTATTGTATTATCAATTCTTGTAAAATATATTTTCAGTTATATGGGCATATACGTTCACACAACCAAGCAAGCGTATAAACACATATATTTATGTTGAATAGTAAAATATATTTAATATTGTAGTTTTACAAAAGTGACGAAATATTTTAAAAACATTTAAATATTTCATTTATATATTTTTTAATTGAATATTGTTGATATTTAGCTGTTGATGGCAAAGTCTTCAAAATTTATTTTCATTTACTCTATATTTGATTGACGGAAAATTAATTAAAATAATAAACAATATTTATACAATGTTACTAAATAATTTTTAAAACTAAAATATTCATTAAAAATTATCTGCAATTATTTATGTAACTATTAATAACGATCATTTCTATTTTTACTAAATAAATAAATAAATAAGATATTACTATTTTTAATTGGATTTTAACATTTCATTTAGTGTTTATATGAATGAATGCAATTTGATATTATTCTATCAGAATAATTTTGAACTCGTCGAATTCAAATATGATTTCGAGATTCGTGTATGAGAAATGATTAATGCCAGTTGTATAAGAAGATCGATCGTATCATGGAAATCATTAGCATGTTGAGTAGTAGACTGGCCTATCTTAAGACTATATTATTCACAGTGAATTCACGTCTAGTTTTTAACCATCAAATGTTTCAACTGTGAAATGGGTTGAAGCATCACATCGAGTATTGCAACAACATTATTAGAGATTAATTATGAGCTTGAACGATCAATTATCTTATACAGCTTGACGCGTATAGCTATGAGAATAAAAGTTGAACTAATTTAAATTAAATATATACAATCGCAAATATTAAATTCTCGCTGATAATACTATTGAAGCAAATTAATTGCAAGACCTCCTACATTATCATTTGTAATTGATTCTATTTATAATTATAAAAATAATTCTAGAAAAAATATATTTTTTTAATGATTATTTGATAAGATAGATTTCTTATTTAATGTATATAATGTCAATGTGTATTATTATTACATTATGTAATATTAAAAGATATTTAGGATTCTATGTACATTATTAACATACAACTAATATCAGAATATTTTAAGATTTATAAAATAGGAGGCATATTATAGAAATATTTTTATTCTGTTAAATTAAATACATTATCAAAAATTTATATTTAAAAGTAAACTGGAAGGTAAACATTTATATATAAAAACAACTGAAAAAGTCATCATCAATATAAATGATATATTAAAGTATCAAACTACTTAATTATAAAGCATTATATTATGCAAATAATTTTGCAAAATATGATGAATCATTTCATTTGAATATTCTTCTTATTTTAAACGATTCGCTAAAATATTTTAAATAACCGTATGAAACCTATCACAACGATTTTTATAATTTCATATATCTGAAGAATTAGAAGTGACATACTTATCTTATAAAATATTATAAGAACGATAATGACCAAATGCTGATGATACTAAATATTTTTACGATTAAAACAATAGAATATCATTAATTTTGATATTAAAATACTTTTATTGAAATACTCAGTATTACTATTATAATTATTATAAAATTTTTATACACTCTTTTTAATTCAGGTCGCCATTAAAATTACCGACACAACTAAAATATCGCAAAACTACATTCTAAAAAATTTGACTAGAGAAGCGAAACTTCTTTCCATGTTAGACCATCCGAATATCGTCAAGCTGTATGAGACGATTCAGGTAAGACAAAATATCGCAAATACCTTTTCAATTTGTATTACATAAATATGTCATTTTGTATAATTAAATTCAATGATTACATGTTATTTCAAGTATATTAGTTAGTAATTTTATATAAAACAGATCAAATTTATTGTAAATTTAAAACTACTTGCGGATCTCTTGATCTTCAGTATACTATTTGAATAAAATTAATCAATCATTATAAATTTCAAATAGTTGATGAATAAAAATAATTCATAATTAATGAAATATTCGATGAATTTCAATATAATTTAAAAAGAAAAGATCTAAATGTTTAGACAGTTTCTGTTGATTATCAAACATATGAAAATAAAATTAATTAAATTGAATAAAATAAGTTGAAATAGGAAAAAGAAACGTAGAAAAACGTAGGCAGATATTAGCTAGACTTATTTATTTCAAATATTTATAAATCTTAAATGTCTATGATTATAAACAATAATATAATATATTTTGTATGGCAGATAATAAAATACAGATTAAAATATATTTAATTATTAAATGTTATAAATTTTATTAAAATTCATGTTAAAAGGTTATTCTTTATACTTTACTTGTATAAATAAACATAACTTTCTTTTGTTATACAATAAAATTCTAATGAAAGAACAAATCAGTATAATCATCGGATTACTTTCTTATATTTTTAATGAATGTAAAATATAGTTTTAGAAGTATTTTTTCTCTTCTTTGTTTTAATTGTTATTTCTCTTATTACACTTTACTTTTCCCAATTAGTCCCTGCCCCCCCCCCCAGTTTCTCCCTTTTTTTCACCTTCCTATTAATTTCTTAAATTTATTAGATTTATAATTCTATCTTTATTGCTCTATTTATTCCCTATTTTATTTTATCAAATTGTTTTTTTATAGATATACTGTTGTATGCCAAAAGAAGTAAAAGAATTATCGCCAAAATAAAAAATATGTTCGATCACTCTGGGTAGGTTGGATGTAAAAACTCATAGTGAAAATGTTTTACAGTAGAAATAGAAGGTTAAAAAGTCAATGAATAAAAAAAATGTTCACATTAAAAGAGTTTCACTTGTTATCTACCATTCTAGCAAATACAATAATATAAATGATTACTTAATAAACTAAAATAATATTAAACATTAATTATGAAGTATTAAAAAAAATATAAATTACATACAATATTTTTTACATAAATTTTTATATAGAATATATTTTTATATAACATATATTTTTTATATAAAAAGTTGTAAAATACATAATTATAGAAAAGTTATACAGAAATAAATTAATAAATAAATAAAATGTTTATTCATTTGTAAATAAATATTATGAATTATAAAAAATTTTCTTATATCTAGGATAGTATTCAATTAATTATATTAGGATTTATTAAATATTTTATCGTTTTTGAACATAATTTTTAACTTTTAAAATTATAAAATTTATATTTAATTTCTTGTTTATTTAATTAATATTTATTATAATGTTATGACTATTTTTTATGAAATGCATAAATACTTCAAGAAACCATAACAATACTAGTTATAAGACATAATATTTTATGGAAATATTTTAGAAACATTGAGAATAAAATTAATTTGTACAAGCATATATACTATTATAAATCGAACATTTTATATTTATTTATATAAATTCATTTCATTATATGATTACTTGTCATTTAATTTGTATTGAACACTTTTCTCTTTTTATGTAACATTTTATTCATTGTATAAAATCATAAAATGTTATACAATAAAAATATAGAATTTTGAATCAAGTCGGACTAAGTGAATTCTATAAATTAAGGGTACACGAATCTTGTAAAGATAACAACAATCTTTATTTTTCTCATTTTCATGTCATAATCTTTACATACAGAGAGCGGGAAATATGTAGAAGTTCGTTGGGTAGAATCTCAATGCTCTTTCTGATATTTTTTATCGTGGTAATGCTGCAAAATCGTATGCGAAATATCAACGAAGGTATAGAGAACAGATGAAAAAGGAGAAAAGAAGTAAGAAGCGAATAAAATGAAAAAGAGAAAAGAGACTCTTAGCAACATCTGGGACGTGTTACATACAGGAACATATATTTCTCGTAAAGAATAATAGATGACGTGGCTTTATCCTCCAACATTATGCATATATTTCTTTTAATTTTTTTCATGATTGTTATGTAATGTAGAAGAAAAAATTAAATCTCTTTTTAAAGCTAATGTTTCCTTACTTAAGAATTAATTATGCATTTTTCAAATATATTATCTTTTCTTATAAATTTTCAAATACTTTGATTTCAGAGATTTGTGTAATAATATTATATTTATTATATGTATTATTATTATATTTATTATATATAATATAATTTATTATATTACAATAGGTAGATATAACACATAAACAATTTATCAAGTTTGAATTTAGCACAAAATTTGAACTGATAAAATCATTATTAAGTTAAAAAATACTTAAACTCTTGCATCGAAAAAATGTTTCTTTTTTTTTTATTATTTTAATTCGTACTATGTTAAATTAATTTTTATGATAACCTTTACTTAAATTTAAATATTAGATAAAGTATTTTTAATGATAGAACACTTTTTAATATTGTTGTACGTAACGTATTAAATTTCAAAATATTATTTAATATAGGTCTAGATTTTTTATAATATTTTGAAAATTCTGTTGATTTTTGTTAATATTATTTATCAATTGTAATTTTATGAAGACTAATGTTTAATGAACGTCGAAATAAGAAAATGTAGCCAAATTCACCAATTAATTTGTGAATGGAACTACGTAGTTACAAAATCGTTTATATGATTAGAGTACTTTATGAATACAAAACTACCACAAATATGCATGTATAATATTTCAATTTGGATGATTTCGATAAAAACCAGGCAATTTACAAATAATTTAATAGAGCTCTAATACGCCAGAACAATTACGTTCAAATAAATACTCTATTTTTTTAACAACCACTTTATTTTTTATAGCACCCAGTGTTTTTGTTTTCAGCAAGACTTTTTATATCAAAGTACAATCAATCTTAGAAATATTTAAATAATTAAAATGACTTGCAATCAATATAATTCTTATAATCGATTAAAAATATCTTAGCATTTCTGAAAACGTTCGAGAAACAATATATTTTAACGTTTTACTATGAATTAAATTAAAATTATAAAGATAAATGCATCTGCTGCTTAATTTAAGATATTTAAATAATTTTTTAGCTATTAATTTAAAATAATCAAACTGTATGAAAATGTGTACGAAAAACAATAGTTTAAACAATAGTGTATCATAATATATTTATAAATTATCATAAATATAAATTTTTATTTTCTAATCCATGCGAAACAAAAATAACTAGGAACTCATATGCCTACTAATATGCATATATGTCAATTAAAAGAATTTTTACTTATCACTTTAATATCAATATTTATTATTACATTCATAATTGAATATATTTATAATACTTTTAATAAAATATTTATAATTAAACGATAGAGTGTAATTTAGTTTCATCATTATCAAACTTGCATCATTAAAAAACTTACGATAAAATCATTACTATTGAACTGTATTCTTTTGCTCATATACCTTAATTTATAGCTACCTAATTTCCTTGCGAATCCTAATTTGCTTAATAAAATTTGTAAAAAAATTAATTAAATTTAGAACTACCTAAAAGGGCTTAAAATGAAAAAATTTACATATATAATATAAATTATATAATAATTATTATTTTATCCTTTCATTACATATACTCAAACTAATTGAAAGTAAAAAAACACAGTATGGATATAATATATATTGCGATGTTAAACAATAATTTTTCAATAATTTTTTGTATAACAATAAGTTTACTACATCACTATGCATTTATTTGAGAAACTTGAATATTTAATTATAATCATTAACACTTTATAATTTAAAATATAGGATTGTAAACATTAATTTAAATTGTAGAATTGTAATTTAAAAATTATATTTTAAGTCTAAAACTTATAGTTAAATATTATTAATAATAATAATTAATTAATTTACAATTATATGTTTAATTATTTTTTGTAAAAAATATTGTAAAAATATTTTTATTTAATTATTTATATTATTTAATATAATGATAATTATTATTATAATAATATAAATAATATATTATTTAATATAATTATAATATTTAAAAATATATTCTCTTATAGATCTTACCTTGTTTACATTAGAGTAAGGGCAAAAGTAAAGTGAGAGGACTCGATAAATCTATAAATTCAAATTTTCATATGAATTTCAAAACGAATACTTTATCGAAAAATATCCGCAGCTAATGACTATTACGATCTGTAAATTCATCAGTGTGGCACGAACTACTATTTGGTAACTGAACTCGCAACCGGCGGCGATCTCTGCTCCCATGTGCAAAATCAACCCGGTGGACGACTTGATGAGAAAAGCGCCAAGTCCTATACGAGGCAGCTAGCAACGGCTCTTCACTACATGCACTCCAGGGACATCATCCACCGGTGAGTTTTTCTGATTCTTAAGTATTAGCTTGTTTCAATTCGGCAACAATAATGGAATTCTATTATGCCGAAATTCCGATAAAACATTGTCCATAGTCGAATGAAAGTTGAATGAAATGGTTGTATTTTTATCTTCTCTTCAGGAGAGAATGCAGTCTTCTGCTATCTCGTTCTCTCTCTCTCTCTCTCTCTCTCTCTCTCTCTCTCTCATGAAATCTTGAATTATCAATTAATGAAATTATCCGTTTTCTTTATTTACCATCATTTATGTCATTCGGCAAATGATAATTCACATTAAATCGAATGCGTGTCAATAATAACGGGTTAATTACATTCTATTACAATATAAACGCAGTTTACATTAAATTATTTATTATTATGAAGAAATGAATATTAATCAGATTCACAATGCGATTACAAGATTCATAGCCTTAATTATATAGACATCCACTATATGCATTGTAAAATTTGACATTGATATATTAATTGATTTATTATATTTGGCTTAATAATAAGTAATTAGTAAATATGTTTCACGGAATAATATGTTTTACAAATATATTTCCTTTACAAAACGAGATCTTATTGCATACCGAAAATTAATTTTTATCATTATCTAATAGTAGCATAATTTAATGCTTTTCATAAAATAATACGCAGAGAAAAAGATAGTTTGAAATATAGATATAAGACATAAAGTATAATCTTAATTTTCTGCCAATATGGAAATCGAATATTGAATAACGAAAGAATCTAACAAACTAGTAGGCTAATATTCAAGATTAATTTTAATCGTAATTAATTTTTTTATTGCAAAAATAGAATAAGAAAGAACAGGAGACAATTCGAGTAGAAGGATATTTCAAATAATCATAAAGTTGTGACTGAGCAGTTTAAGAAAGCGATTGCGATAGGTACGGTAGAAGATAAAGTTTGTTCCCCTAACGATTAGTAGAGAATCACACTAGTGGCACTCGACACTTCCGATTCGTGGTGCTCGTCCAATTCACCCGGGTGACATAATAATCCAGCCACATGACGCCCGTCAATGTTCGACCCGCATTGGCGCCACTGTCACACTATGCATACGGACAGCCAATATTACTAGTAAGCAACGGCTGAGGAGGAATCTTACGTAAACATTAATATATACACAACTACATGCTCACACGAACACACATATGCATCTCTACGTGTTTTTGTTTCTTCCAAGTTTTGCGGCTTAATATTTGTCTGAACAATTGTTAATGAAGCGAATAAATCGTAATTGGATTATTTTCGTAAATATTAGCAAACCGAATACGTTCATTCAATTGTCCGTGAATTAAAAATAAAAATTCATATAAATACTTATTTCAAACTATTACTATAAGCTTAAAAAATATTTATAAGCATTTTCTTCTCATAAATATAAATTACATTAAATACATTAATTTTCATTCGAGTTTTCCATAAAATCTAATAGTTTCACGTGTATGTATACCAACATGCAATATAAGGACTTATCAGTTGCACCACATATATCATAAAGATAACATCAACAACAAGATAGCATCTTATTGAGAAATACAAGCTTCATTAGAAGATGAAATAATTAATGAAGTCTTAAAGTGACCGAGATGATGATAATAAGGATTTTATAGCTTTATTCAATCATCAATGGTTAACTGTAAATTAATAATTAATTATTTGATTCAATTTTGATATATTATTATAGAGGTATTTACCTAACTAATTACCTCGGTATTTATGGATATCTAGCGGTTTCAAAGTTGCTTGAGTTTTTATGAAAGATAAAAAATAAAACCAAATTATGGGTAATGGGACAAATACATATTTTATAAATTTCATAAATGAAGTATACATATTATAAATTTATAAAATAAAAAGGTAAATATAATACTTAAAAGGGAATTTGTCATATAATAATTTATTAAGATTGAGTTAAGATTAGAAAATTTAAGGAAAATAGTAAGATTGATTATCGGTATGAAAAAAAAATCAACTAGGAAGTATAACAATTGAACAAAAAGAAAATAAAAGAGAGAGAGAGAGAGAGAGAGAGAGAGAGAGAGGTAGAACAGTGCATAAGATTGGGTTAGACTATAAATTCAACGAGATTAGAATAAAGAGATTTGCATCGTACTACAAAATGGGCGACAATGTCCTGTTGGCGAGGTGTCAGTTCGTTTT